TCGCATCTCATGCGCGATCCTCGCCGGATTACGCATCGCCCTTCGTCCCACTTCGTCATGATTCAGCCCTTTACTCTCATACGAAATTACTCGTCGCGTGTCTATTGCCCGAGTTTTCGTTCATTGTGAATTCCGCGGATCGACGAAGTTGTAATCTCATACCGCTCTTTATCCGCAGCGATTTAATCGTCTGTTATTATCGTATCAAAGGTGATATGAATTAGCAATTCCTTCCGCGGTACAATGTTCTTCTCGTTGATTAATTATACGCACGATATTCCTTGGTTTTGCCTTTTTTCCCCATTTTCTTAGCGCAGAATGGAATTATAAAAACTTCTTTGCATCTACGCTCAATGTCTCCGAGCTACTTCCACATAAGAGACCGTTTTTTTTGCGGACTTATCACACAAGCAATGACGTCGTATTATCCCGAGATTAATATTAATATACACTATGATCTATTGAACATCACGTCGGGACTTCACGGATCAACAACGTACTAGGAATATTCCGCGATCGCGCTCTTTATGATCTCTATCTTAATGTATTGTCAAAAGCAGTCGGTAATCGGTGCGTGTCATGGTTACAAATGTCTGTTAAGAACAGTAATTATTCCTATGGAATAAATCCAACTACAGTAACAGTGAAAATAGATATTTATTATTTCCTTATTATTATTTTAATCACAGTCTTAAAGTATTAATTGATTAATTGATTAATTATTTTATTATATATAATTATAGAGTATTGATTCAATTATTTTTCTTGAAATATCCCTTATAATTATATTTAATTGATTTAATTTATATCATATTTGAAAAACACGTTTATTCTGATAGAACTCGAACACGAAACCTCCGATTCTTCGGAATAGCCGAATATCTGCAAGACATCATTACTCGATCATACTTTATCACATTTTGGAACAAAATATCTCTGCAACATTTGACTGTGGCCAATATAAAAATTACAGACATCTTTGAGATATTCCCGTGACATTTTGACAATCAGATATTATCAGATACTTAGACATTCAGATATTTTCCAGATATCTCTGTGATATATTTTGTTATGTAGGCAGTTGATACACATCGTTGTTGTGAGATCTTCAAAAATAAACCATTTCTTTATACAGAGTCCGGTCTATTATTTCCCGTGCGATTATTAACTCGTACGGATCAATTCCTCATAAACTATTGCGAATTTTTCAAATGGCATGAAATTTCTGTTCAGCGTCACCCACTTTATCTATTTCGGATTCCGAAAAAATTATCAGACACTTGGAATAACCACTCAACCGCGACAAAAACAACAATCCTAGACGAATTCTCCCACTTCCTGCAATCGCGTAGAGTTCGTCGTCGCGTCGACCTTTCCAAGCGATAATACGGATCATTATCTCGTCTCTCGCGGTTCAAAATCATAATTACTTACTTAATCATATTCGGGTCATATCGGTCGCTCTCATTAATTGGTTCATCATTCTCCGAAAGAAAGAGATATTACGCAATCGCGCGCTCAATTACGGCCGATAATCAACCGCTTCGTAAAACATAAAACTTCACCATTGCAAGCCAATTAATGCGGGATCTGTCTCATTTGAGTATAAACAGACATTTGAAAACCCGTGGTCTTACTTAGGGAGAAAAGTTATTCCAATTCGAATCGCAAGTTTCGATAAAAGCGGTGAACATGCACGATTCCGAAAAATCAAAATCCCAAAATTTGGTAAATATTTGACAACATTCCGAAAGTTATAATACTGAATACCTGGACAATCTTCCAAAATTTTATATTGGTCATAAGATAATTTTTTGAGAGAGAAGCAATTCTCTTGCCATTTATAGCAATCCGGCGATATTATCTCCATATCTTACAGAGCATAAATTACACCATTTTTTTTTAATTTACATAACGTTGATTGCCTAACATTTTAATGCAAATTTATCCACGGGTAATTTATATTTGTGCAATTTATAACTTTAACTGCCCGAGGTTCATACATTATTCTAGCGGATTTTTCAACGATAGCAGATAATAATAACTGAAAATATACTGAACAGATAATAAGAACGTTTAGCAGTATACTAAGTTACTGAGAGATCCAGGTATTCGGATAATCGAAATTAACGGCATTAATTTGTACGCGATCAGTACGACTAAAATGAATCGCGATAACGGATGATATATTGTGAAAAGTCGCACGACGATTACATGTAATCGCACGAATTCTTCCACCTGAACGTGTGTCGACGTTGTTGAACTACTTTCTCGGGATTTCTTCAAATTTCAAAACAAAATCCAACACGAAGGCGGTCGCGTTATCTTGAGCAACGCCTCGCGGAAAGAGTGACAGTCATTGCGAGGGACTTTCCATTTCTTCTTTAGCGTGAAAAGCATCGCGCAATTCGGGTAATTAAACGTTATGGCAATGCGCTCGCTGGTCGAAACTTCGCTGATATGGAAAATGCAAGTCCGGTACGCACGCACCGGCCGGCGACGCGCGACGAATCGCGGCGCATTGTGGCGTAACTCCGCGCGTACGTTCGGCCGATGCGCCGAAAATTGAACAGTCTGTCTGTAATATTATTATTCTCCATGCTGATGCTTCGAATTCAACGCGAATCCGCGGGATTAATGTGAAAGTGGAATTCCGATCTAGGGCAATTTTCATGATTATACACGTTGCCCGCACGTTTACGTGATATAATGATCGCATTGGTAACCGGCGCTAGCTTTTTAGGATTCGCTGGATTTCTGAGATCAAGTCGCGATATCCGTCACCGTTTTCCGCGTCGATAATGACACACGGCGAAACGACACGTACGAATAATGCGAAGGCAAAAAAAGGAAATGATCGTTTCATTTTATCGAGCGATCGGCGAAAAGCATTCTTTACGTTGTCGCGAAAAATAGGTGGTGGTGGTGCAGGATGTGACGATTTGACACATTAGTTTTCGAAACATTTTTCTTCGAATTCCGAATGATGTGTAATTCCAGTTACGATCATTACGACGCTGCGATTCCGTGCGGAGATTTCCCTGATGTTTGGGAAAATTTTCTAAATGTAATTTGATATGTGGAAGATTCTCTCTCTCTCTCTGTGTGCGCGTGCGTGTGTGATCCTGCACTGCAAATCCAAATATGTTATTTTAGCTAAGACCTTGATACATTTTTTGCCATCTTTAATCAAGTCATTTAATATGATTGAATATGCCAACTTGTAATTTAGTAAGCGTTCAATTTTAATTATAACTTAAAACGGTAAAAAGTGTAAGAAGACCTTCTATCAAGTGTATTATTTCTAGACGTTTTTACGTATAAAAATTATATACCTGGATAATTATACACCTGGATTTGTAGCGTGTATTATTTTTATAGCCTCTCGTGATCTCTGCCAAATCTAGTAGCTCTTTTTCTTACGACAATATTACTTATTTTCTCTTTCATCTATATTTATATTTCTTTTCTTTCTTTCCATGAAGAGCAGCCGGTACAGTGTGCTATAGTAGAAGCTCGGCCGTCGACTCGCGTCGCTTCGGCAAATATTTTCGTCAGACACAACGAGACAGTGGGGTCACGATACAGATTTTATCCGCGGCCATAATTCCTCGATAAAATATATTTTCGAAAGTGTCACATCGCCGATAACAATAAATGATGCAAACAAGAGAAAGAAGAAGGGTATCGCTAATGGAACACAAAGGCGCGAAAAGTGTCATTGAGGAGGGATAACCCGGTAAAAAGTCGTCGCACATAAAAGATATAGATATGTGTGTGTCGCCTAAAAGTTATCACGTTACGATTAATAAGTCGTAGACAGAAAGATACAGACTTCACTCTACGCGCGACACACGCGCAAATATCCGCGCACATGTTGCGATTACGACTGATTTGAATATGCATGTTTCTCTCATTTTGGGCGATAAAACAAAAGCCACGCTGTGAAATAAATCTTCGCGAATTCTCGGCGATGAGTCAACGTGATAAATTTGAGGCGAGCTGAAAACGCATTAACGAACACAACTTTATAAATAGGAAGATCGTGTAATTTAGAATTTGGGAATTATCTTAGGGGAAGATCCGAGTGGCGATATTGCGCGGCACACTCGAATGTCGATCCTGCGAGAAGCAAAAAACTCCGAAAACTCTGTCGAAACTTCCATGGAGCAGTCGGCTTCGAACCTGCTTTTAAAAGTGGCACGCGCGAAATCGGCGAAATCGCGAAATATTGAACTTGCTAGACGATTCCGAGATATTATGCGTAATTGTTGTAGGCTAATTTAATCGTTGCGATCCGAAGTATGTCGAGATGCATTCAGGTCAAATCTCAAGACCCCGCGATAAAGAGCCGCCGTTTTACACTTTGCACTGCAATCCGTTGAACTCGAGAGCGAAGTAATGGCATAATTAGCGAACAAAAATATCTCAATGACGATGTAAAACCATCTAATACCATATACATACCATCGATTACAGCATCGTTAATCGTAACAGATTAATTGGCCGATATAAAATGCACTCAGATGTGACAGATAATAATTGGAGAACAATTATATCGCATTTGCGCCTAACGTCTATATCTGTTTCGGCAAAAAAATAAACATTTGGAAAACATCGTTAAGTAACGATCACAGATGCTTGATGAAAAGATAATCGAGAAATAGAGACCCGCTGCTTAAATTCGCTTCTACCTGTTTTGTTTCATCTTTCCCACCTGAAAACTCATTTTCCATCTCTACTGATGTCACCTCGCGTTAAAGTAGGTCGGAATTTCATATTCTACAACACGACCTGTCATTTTCTTTCAATACATCTTTTTCTTGCTTCTTCTCTCTCTCTCTCTCTCTCTCTCTCTCTTTCTTTCTCTCTTCGTCTTTTTTCTTTTCTTTCGGTACGACATGATTTTCCGATACGTATATTATAGCATCACGCGTAACCGTGTTCTTGGACCACATTCTTCGCTGCTTTCAGATGAGAAATTATCCGCATTTACTTACGTAATGTCAACCTGATCACCGTCGTCGCAGTCGTCGTCGTCCTCGTCGTTCTCGTCGCCGTTGGACGTCCCACGGGCGCACGCACAACCGGGTTCATTAACTGACCAGTAAAATCTGTCTTTATGTAACTCACAACAAGCTGTCCGAGAAAGAGAGTGGGAAGAGCGGAGAAAGAGACACCGGGCGAGTTTCTCTATTCGCTATCGAGTGCAACCTTACGTTTCGGTTTCGCGCGGGACCGCCGCACCTCGTAGATCCCGCTCCGAGCTTTTACGATCTATCGATCGATTTATTGCGGCTGGCTTCTCGCTTCCGTCTTCCTCCGCATCTCTCCGCGGCGACTTTGCCGATAAGATACCGTGGGATATCGAGGGATGACGATTGTCCGATTTCTTTTTATTTAAAAACGAAGGAAGAGTCACGTCAATAGTCCTCTTCCTCTTCCTCCTCCTCCTCTTCTTTCCCTTCTTAGAGGCTCACTTCCCGATCACAAGATACGTTCCTCATACTTCCGTTTCCTCGACGGAAACGAAATGCTTCTCCGACAACGCGCGATAATCGATCGATCCACTGAGTCCCGAGATCCGTGATCGGCACAGCGCGAATATCACTCGTTGCGTTCCCGCGATTAAATCCAAGCGGGGCCGGCCGTGGGCCTCCTTTTTAATTCGCGAGTGGTCGTTCGCATACGGGGAAGAGAAAGAGAAAAGAGAGGATTGTCTGGCCAAGGAGCAGAAAAGGGAATAGAGAGAGAGAGAGGGGGGAGAGGAAATAACGAGATATAGATGAACAATGACGGAGGAGAAGGCAGATCGATAAAGGAGAACGAGATGACCGGTCCCCGACAAGGTTCGGATGCACGCGCGCGGTCCACGATCTGTCGAATAGCGAGCTAGGAGATAGCGCGATGTAGTGCCACTGGTAGAGACCATCAGGTGCCCACCAGGTACCCACCGCGTGGCCATCGAGTGCCGGTGGTAGGGAAACGCGGCGTGCATACGCTCGGACGGATAACGAGCGTGAACGTGTGCGGATCGCAAACGCTGGCTGGCTGGTTGGCTGGCTCCGACGGATTTCGTGTGAGACGACGAAACCGTTCCGACGGACAAGAGAGAGAGACCCCGCTTTTACGAGATGATCTCGCAATATGAATATACGAGACGAAAACCGCGAGCGGTTCTTCAACCGGTCTGCGAATTTTCGAAAGGAATCGTGCGTGAAAGAAATAGCTGTACTAGCCATTACGTTAAATTAACTCTTTGCATTCGTGTGTCCGCTCTTAATTGACCGAGATAGAGGAACGTTAATTAAGCGTCTTCATTGTATTCTCTCAGAAGAAAGAGCATGTAATTATGATATAATATTATATTATATTAATATACATGTAATATTTCTTTTTATTTATATATTTCTTATTGATTATATATCTCTAAACTTTCCCGAATTAAAGTTTTGGCTTTATATTGAACCTGATGATATCTTAAATTTCCGTTTTAGCATCAAAATAGATTGTTGGAAGCAGCGTTAAAATTCAATCTGTAAAATTAAAAATTTAAAATGGAGATATCGGTATCGCCAAAGTAGGTTTTTATTAGTTTAGAGGCCATCTAAGTAAGCGCAAATTATTCTTAAGAGCGTCAAAGTAGTATCAAAGTTTCGACTTGGGTTTACATAATCACATCTTGTGTCCTGACTTACTTGAGCTTTGCAGACTCCATGTACTACTTAGGGTGTTTCGTTCATTTATTTCATTTTACATCGAGCAGCATAGAACATTGTATAGGAGGCACAACTGCATGAACAGAATTGTTATATTAGCCAACTAATTCTCTGGATCCATTATCTTATTTTTGCAATTCCTCAAAAGCTCCTCTCTTAGATGTAATTTATATGGAGTTCTATATTATTTAATTAGCTGATTTAATTAATTTTTTTCTTTCTTTTTTGAATTTATATTAAGATTTTTTTTTATTTCTGTTTTATTATTATAATTCCCCGAACGTCCCATAATTCGTTTTCCGTTCCAAAAAGTCTTAATCTCTTTATTTAAATAAATAAATAAGCAAATAGGAGAGACCTACGAAATATCACGACATCTCGCAAATCTTTAAAGTTATGTCCATTTTTTTCATATATTCTACACAGAAAACAAGTTGGAAATTTATTATTAGCTGGCTAATATTCTGGATATAAATTATTACAAGTGTAAAAAGGTTTAGACTTGATTGCCGTTAAAATATCGCTTCCATTGCGATAAAATTCGAGTTCCAAATTCGTCCGTCCGTCTATTTCGGATAGAAAGAAAAGGAAAGTTTCTTTGCATTCGTATAGCTGCTTTCCGTTGCAGGTGTTAAAAAAAAAGTGTTTTAGTAATTTATTTTCGGGAGACCATATAATATATAAGAGGTACGTACAAAACATCGTAATAAAATCTTGCCAAATTTGAAAATTGTATCCATTCCTTTCATATTTTGCCCGAAAACAAATAGACGAAAAAATTCATTGTCGCCAAAGTAGGTTTTTATTAGTCTAGAGGCTATTTAAGTAAGCGCAAATTATTCTTAAGAGCGTCAAAATAGTATCAAAGTTTCGACTTGGATTTACATAATCACATCTTGTGTCCTGACTTAATGATGAAATCATTACGAATGGGAAAGAGCACACCTAAATTGCCGTGTCAGGTATTTTATTTTATTATGGTTAAATTCAGATTCCAAACTCCCAATCGATCGGTCCGCTTCCTCTCGGTTGCGAGAATGAGAAGGGGGTGATTTACCTCGCGTCACAAGCCACCGGTGTGTGATGACATGCGAAAATGAGAATTCGCCGTGCGTGACGCGTTTCGTTACCGGTTCCCTCGTCGGGAGAGTATCGTGTGCGTGCAGTAGTATGTATCCCATTGATTGGCTCGATCGCAGCCGACACACACTTGCTGTTCCGTTTTCGACGATCACCGCAATCGCGTGCGATCGTCCGCGAGAAAATCGCACAGGAGAATCCGCCATTCCCGACCGCGCGTTCCTGCGGTTTGTTGACTCGCATCCGATCTAACGCTAACGCTGAGCTTTGATCGCAGCCGACCAAGAGAAGAAGAAGAAGACAAGTACCGAGAGACTCTCGCGAGACTTCGCGTGTCTTCATCGGAAGTCTCGGTGAAGAACGGTAGCGGTTTATCGCGCGAGGGTTGAAGCGAAATCATTCGCTTCCCGGTTGATCCTCGAGACCCGTCGAGACCGAAATCAAGGACCGCCGAGTGAAAACCGCAAGAATGCGGCTATGGACAGATACGGCTGTTTATTCTGAAAATAATCCGACGCGATTGTAGCCGCGTGAGAGCTACGTCACAACGTCGGGATTGTGAATTACAGTCTAGAGTACCTATAATGAGAGTACGGCCACCATGTGTCTGGTTTCTGATGGGTTTCGTCACGTTTGGCTCAGCTTCCGCTTAGAATGGGTCGAAGGTTAAGTGTCAAAGGTTATTTGCCAGCCAGAGGCAAGGGTATTGCCTATATCATCCATTATCCTTTCCTTTACCAAGTGCGAGATATGATGACGACAAATGATGATATAATTAGACTTGCGTTTCTCATTGAAAAGCATCCAAAGAGCTGAGTGACAAAACAAATAAGGTTTGTCATTTACGAAATCTACGAAGTATCTTAAATGAAAAATGAATTTGTGTTGTTTCGTATTACAATTAATTATCAATTTACCTTGGTTTGCACCTATTTTAATAGTATATCAACATTTCGCGTATTATGGCTGCGAACTTCCGGTTTTAATCCAAACCTGGCGGCCACATTGACGGTGGCTATACACAAAGAAAAAGAATATTCTTATTTTGAAACGATCCGTATTCTCAATTTGTACATGTCGAAATGAGATTATACAGCGATGAACGGATGAAACTTGTTTACACAAAAAAATTCCTCATAGTCCCACCAAAAATATAATATTCTCGTTATTCAAAAATAATTTTCTTAAATTGAGAGTAAAGAATATAGAACAGGAATAAACGATATCTTCAAACCAAGAATTACAATTTCTTTAATTTGAAAAATTACATTATTTTTATTTGAATATATTTCTCTTAGAAAGGGTAGTTTATATTATTAAACTTGTATATATTGATTTGTTGAAAGTTCTTATAATAACAATTTCTTTGTCATATATTACAATTGAGGAATATATTACATAAAAGGATCACAAAAGAGAGTATATCGAAGTAGCTCAGTGGTAAGAGCGAGTAAGAGCAGATGCTCGACGGAAACGGAAGATTCCAGAGATTATTAATTTTTTTGTAAAAAGATTATATATTCTTATTATTATTACTTATTATTATTACTTATTCTTATTATTATTTATACATATGAGAAAATGATCTCATCCATTAGAGTATATAAGTCTTGAATTGATGCTAATTTTTTTCTGTGTCCTCTTATATAAATATTCTAACATAGTCACGTTACTATAGGCGACCGAACGAGGATGAAAAAATAGCTCGTTATCAGATCAAAGGGTGGAATCTACTAGACGTTTCGAAACGTTCCGCCACTGCTTAACGACGTTCATTAATTCAGCACGTAGAAAACATTTCTCGAGGCGCTCGTAAAAAGTCCATCAAATGGAATCTACATCCGAAGACTCGTTGGATTAATCGTGAGAATGCAAACGTATATTGCCCGGGGAGTTTCGCACGAAGGGGATTCTGGCAAAACATATTTCCGCAAACAAGATCAGGGACACGAGTTAATATCGTGTCGCGACAACGATGACGATCATTTTTGCGATATACGAGTTATACGCAGTATCTCACGTTCCACTGAATCCAATGTGCACAAAAACGATTCGTCCGAAGCAGTTGGAATTGTTAATCGTTTCCTTCGAGCGAGATCATAGACAACACATCCGATTCTCCCGTGAGAAAAGTAACTCCGCGTCGAACATATCATATTCAACATAATATATATATGCGAGTGTGATTGCTGGTGTGTGATTGCTTATCCGCTCCGCGATAGTGACAATGAGAGTCGGTGTCGGCGTGTTGTACAATTAATTGCGGAAAGAATATCAGTAAATATAATAAATCACTATCGGCGGTAATCGACGCGTCGAAAATAAAACGTTCGATAAACATCGCGTGTTAATATGTTGAACGTCCCGAGGAAAAAATAGTTTCGAAAGGCGGCTTCGATTTTTCAAAATACGCGATAACGTACGCTTGTTTCGAATCACGCATCACGAATAAATCTGGAATACAGCGTTAATTACCACGATAATTTAATTATAATTTATAACACGATAAATCAGAGCCACGAACACGTTTTTTCATTTCATGCAGATCCAGTTTCTTCTTCTTATGAAACCTCCTCACCGAAAATAAGTGTTCGGCAGCTATGATTATAATTGTATGATAAAATAATGACAAACAGAAAATTTTTGCATAATAAAATAATCACAACCAGAAAATTCTTGCGGTGTGTGAACACTACTATATTGTTATCGATCATAATCTCGTACATATATTAACTTCTACTACTTGAAACAACGAAGAGCGTGTGAAATAACTATAATGTGTAGAGTTTTCCTCTCAGCGATACGACACTTTAATGGCTCTAATCAACACCGGATGGATACATAGAAAAAAGTTAGTCTTACAAATCAAGAATAAATATTCTCGTATGCAAGAAAGAATATTATAATCTTCTTAGAAGATTCTCAGTCTTGATTTGATTGAATTTGTTGTATTGATGCAAATATTACTTGAATTCAATTCAAGACTAAACAACTTTTAAGAAGATTATAACATTATTGCTCATATATGAGAATATCTATTTTTGATTTAAGACTATTCCTTTCTTTTTAGAACACGAGACAATGCCGACGAGACCTAACCAAGCCTTGCATGCATTACGTTAGTGATAATTTAATATATCCATCAAGAAAAATAAGTACGTTTCAATTAAAATTTATGCTAATAATTGGATCTTAATTAACGGAATTCTAAATAATGAAAAGTTCGAATGATTTACGTTCGCCTGTTTGCGTTCGCTATTTCGCCTGGAAACGTAATAGAAAATCAGATCACCTGTAAAGTGATGAAACAGTCAATGTTGTACTCAACCGTTGATTTCACAAGATCTTGTGTCACAACATGCAGTTTTGCATTCGTTAGACTTTTTTTTATGAATATTACGTGTAACTGTTACAAGAACTGGTAAAAATAAAATACATGGAATCATAAGTCGACAGTAGTAGCTATGTAATTTCAAATGTCACAATAACTTTAAATGTAACTTTATAATAGTATCATAATATTTATATGTTATAATATATGTTAGATATATAGATATATGTTATAATACTATTTGTATATATATACATCCATGCTTTTATTTCTTATGGCCGTATTTTATTTTTTCGTAGAGATCATGTGCAATGTCAATGTTGGTCACGTATTAATTAATTTTATCTAGAAGACACTTTATGCGTGTTATTACGCAACATCATTCATCCGATTCATCGGTCTACAGTATTTGTGCAATTTTTACAATAAACTTGAAACACATACGTGATACAGGTATACAAGTGTCATGAAATATATAAACAAATAAATCCGGTATATTAAGAAAATCAAATTAAAAATAAAGAAACCTTTAGATTGCTACAGTTTTTGCGCATGATATACGATTCCAACACGATCGATAAGATCGATATTACGCAGAATTTGCACAAACTAATTATGCATATAGCGTATAATTGTTGTTCGCATATTCAATGATATAACCGTTGGTGATTTTTCTTGGAAAACCGATCGCTAAGCATACATAAATCACGACTGCAGTAGTCAGTCATTATTAAGATTGGGTAAGTTAATTTTTATTCTTGACCAAGTTAAAAAGACTAAAAGTTAACGGCTTATAAAATGAACGTAGTTACATTAAAAGCTACCTAAACTAATACTAACTGAATTAAAAGTTAAGTTAATATTAAAGTAACTTGTTAAAGTTAACAGTTAATTATATGCAAAATCATGTATACGTCTAAAATCGGGAGATAAGATGCTTGAAAAACGTCAAAATAGTTTAAACGTCTTTCAGACGTTTTATGTCCCGATTTTAGATGTTATGTGCTGTCTGAATATATATATATGTATAGGATGTCTCAGAATAATCGTATACGGAGTGCGCCGGAAGATTCTTAGCATCAAATGAAACCATTTTCGTTCATCAAAATTTGCCCGACCTTTGTTTAAGTCAATCGCGGCTCGTAGCGGAGACTTTGGAACTAATAAGTTAAATAATAAGGGGTCTGAAACTATTAGACCCGATAAAAATTTCGAATAGACTACATGGCGCCGTCTAGTGTCTCTTCTCGTAACTACTTACAAATTCATTAAGATTAAGGCCGGTGTTCATAGTCGAACTTATACATACAACTGTCTTAAGTTCATCTTCAGATGCTGTACGACTCATTTCATTGGCTCCAAAACATCTGAAGATAAACTTAAGACGGCCTTGAATATAAGATCCGACTACCGGTCTGAATTCATCGAGTTAAATCCGTTGCGACTACTCCATTATGAAAAATACACAACACTTAATGAATTGTAACTTTGGCGAAAATGACGATAATAAGGTGGTTTGCCAGAAACGTTTTGCAACTTTAATCATTTTATTTTACGTCCAGTTTACAACATTGCTGGAGTTTAACGCACAAAGCCATTTTATTGGCTACGTATCATCTTAAGATGGTAGAAAGCATCCATCGATTAATGTTCGTAGTGTGTGTGTGTGAGTTTCTTCATCGTCTTTGCCAGCTACACCACGGCCACAGCTCTGAGCAGCTGGTAGTCGCAATATGTCTGTTATAAACAAGATCCACCATTACCAGCGAAGTATAGAGAAATGCGGCGCCAATTTGGATCGAGTATGCATCGTTTGACAGTATATTGCAAAAGTATTCGCGTCCGATAATGTGTAAAAGTTAATTCATTCTGGACGACGATGTCATAACCTCTACTGTCTCGCAGCTTCGGGCCATTTGAATATATCGATATCGCTCTCGCAAATCTCACTTTCACCCGAATTCACTTTTGCGTATAATTCTTTCCAGATACTTCATTGCATTACGAAGTTATACAATCTACCAGTGACAGTGCAGCACCTTCAAGAGACTGGAGTAGGAAGGACTGTAAATGGTTTAAGGAAATATGACGGTGCAGTAGGCAATGCTGCAAAAGCTTTGGTAGCAAAATGGAAGGCCATGGTAGTGGATGAATATTCCAGTGGGGAAGAAGATGATGAGGTCGGCGTAAAAATTGATAATTACACCGATAACCATGATGCGGTGAAACCAAAGGAAACTGAAGAAAATATTCTAGATCAAGCGCAGCAGCTGAAAAATACACACGAAGAGCTCAAGAATGAAGTAACTATGGAACAAAGTGCAACACAATTATACAAATCAAAAGAACAAAGTCCAAAGGATACAGAGGACAAGCATGGAAGACATGAGAAAACTAGTCATTCTTCCAAACACTTACAGAATGAGATGAAGTCCAAGGAATCAAGGAATAGTAAGAGCAGTTCGAGGAAAGACGAAACTCACAAGACCAGAGAGCAGAATCACAGCAAGAATGGTGATTTAGAAAAAACAAATGATAGATTGATGAAAAATAATGACAACACTAGTGGGAGAAGAACTCTTGATTCCAGTTCCTCAAAAAGAGACAGCAGCAGCAAGAGGAGTAAGCTGTCGGATAGCGGAAGTAACAACGAGACACAATTATTTATTTCGGAGAAAACTCATTCTTCGAGATCTTCAGAAATTAAGTTAAAAGTAGAGGACGATAAGGACAAATCAAACGTTAAACAGGAAAAGAAAAGCTCGCAAGAAGAATCAAGGAGCGGTCCTAGTAAGTTGAAGTCCCAGGATTCGAGTAGTAAGACAAAAGACAGCAGTGAAAAACATAAACATAAGAAAGATCACGTAGATCATAAGAGAACAGACAGCAAAAGAGATTCCAGTCATCACTCTAGCAAGGAAATATCTGAATCAAAGGTTTCCTCCAGCAGTAAGGATCACGTCAAAAGTAAAGACCGAGATAGAAAACGAGAACACAAAAAGGATAAGGGTCACCATGAAAAGAAGAAAGAGATAAAGATGCGACTGTCACAGGGGATAACCAGCAATGAAGGAATAGATTGCAATTCCGGTTAGTGCAGACATGCAAAGTGTGTTGAAAATGGTGTAAATTACACACAGTTAATACTATTTTGTAGTATTGACTAATTTGTTATTTTATTATGTCATGAAATGAAATCTACTTTTTATAATATAAATTTTACATTCCACATTATGGTAAATAAATTTGTATCCTTAAATATCTGCAGAGTTTGACTTCACATAACATTGATATTACTAAACGCAGTTGAATAAAATTGCTTTTTTCTTAGTTAAATATAAGAAAAAAAGTAAACACTAACATATACATTAGCCGGGGTTTTTAAATTATTAAATTAATAACCACAATCAAACAAAGAAAAAAGTATTCGCAAAGTATGATATTATTTTTCTTCTTAGGTGCAAGCTTTGCAGAAGCACTAGGTATGTGCACTATGCCTCAGCCATCGAGGAAACGTAATCAAAGTTCCTCTAATCCTTCACGTAAGGCAGGCAAAACTGAAGTAACATCGCCCCCGAGTAAAAAAAAGATGACGGCAGCGACAATTGAGTCAGAGTGCAGCGACGATCCAAACGTAATTTGCATCCTATTGTTTAACTCTCTCTTGACTTAAAAAGAATAACCGAGTGACTAAGATTATTCGAGAATTACTTCATGGGATAAGCAGTGATAAGTCAAACTTGTAATTTCTCACAGCCACCGTCTCTCTTGGCGTCGAACGTGAAACTGGAACCACTTAATGTAGACTTAGCATCCACGTTACCTGAAATCAGTCCCAATTACAAGCCATTACCACACATCAACCCAGTTCAGCGCAGAGAAGAAGCTAAGTTTGTCGACGACGTCATTCTCGTGAAGAATCAAAGGTATATTGTCCTTTTGTAGCAGCACCACAAAAGAACAATATGCAGTAATTTTGTTGTAATTTCGCTTACTTTATCTCATGTGAATCTTTACTCGCAGGACAAAGGTGTACTCTGGTAATAAGGTCGGTTACACGAGCGTGCCGTCGCTGTGCGAACTGAGTATGAGAGTGTTGATCGAAAATATCGATGGTAAGTGCCTTTTCTTGCCTAACAGACAGCACACTGGTCTGTTATATTAGAGTTCCCCGGGTTCGCCTCTCGGTAGAACCAAAATATTTTCATGTGCTCGTATCTCCTCTCCGATGGACTGACAAAATCCATCGAGAGTATCTCTGCCAAAAACCTCACTCAAATTGCCGTTCGGAGTCGGCGTTAAAACTGTAGGTCCCATATAGTTATGTATAATCTGCGTGCGCACCACAATTATATGCGTGTGAGAACAACGTCAAAAGACGTTACAAAACCGATATATATATTTATTCCACGAACATTTTGTATTGTTGCTATAGCTCTCGAGTTCACCGGTGGTGTACCATACGACATAATAAAGCCAGTCCTGGAGCGTGCCACGCCCGATCAGTTGTTTACATTGGAACATTACAACCCATATCTTATTGAGGATACTGGTACGTTATGGCAGTTCCACTGTAATCGGGAGTTTAGGAACAAGCAAAGGCAGGAAATGGAGTCGTGGCGTGAGATGTACATGGTGAGTAAGTTGAGAATTATAGAATCCAAGCACAGCAAAATAAAGAAGACACGTTCACGACACTCAATCCGAGCTGTTTTTCGTACCGATTAAATATGTTAATTGTGTAGCGCTGCTTGGACGAGAGAGAAGCGAAACTGAAGACACTGACCGCCAACATCAAGCAATCCATTGACAAGTCCGTTCCAGTGAGATCTACCAAGCTCGCATACGTGGACAATGTCGTGAAGCCACCGCGAAACGTGCTGAAGAAACAGGCGAAATACGGCACGGCCAATGACACGCCTGCCACAGTATCGAGTTTAAAGAAAAAGTTAACCGGCGGCGGTGGGACTAATAACGCGACGAACATCGCTGTGCCGCCACCGCCGATGTCACGGTTTAAAATGTCGAGTGAGTATCTCCCGTATTTTGCTCGCCGATCAATTCTAAGTTTTCATCAACAGCCTATCACTCGGCTAACTTCTAATATCGATATACAATTGATCCTTTCAGCGTCGAACAGCGTGAAGAAGACTAAAGCACCGCTTATGGCAAAAGCGTTACAATTAATAAAGGGACGTTACAAACGGTAGTTACACAAGGGTTGCATATTATCGATGGTATTCAATTTCCGTAGGTAATTAGATCGTACGTACATTCATCATCTCACGATTATTCCGATTCCGTTGCGATTTCGACGCATCAATTTCATTTTCATGCATTTCACATAATACCGTTCTTCCGTCACTTCTGTTTTGTCCGTGTAATAAATGCTTGTGTTCAGCGAATCTTGTCCGAAAATTGTGTGTAACGAATTGACTATATAGGAAAACTTGTTCTGCTTATTGTGTTGGGACGCAATATCCGAAAGGAACGTAAATATTTCCAGTACTCATGACAATATCCTTTTTTTAAGCAACTATAGAAATTATTTATATCGTGCGCTCAGTTCACAAAGAGCTCTTAGCGGTAACGAATTCCTTGTTTAATGGAAAGTATATTTTATATTTATATATTTGGATTCGAAACCTTCTGTTAACACATTGTATGCCATGCTGAATGCGAATACGAACCTCAGATTCGTATTTTGGAATTTCGATCGTGGTCGTGTACAAAAATCAGATTAAAATATCACCTACCGCACAAGTTGCGTCCGATTAAGCAAGATGCTTACTAAAAAATTTTTATGTATAATCATACAAAATTATATCATTATAATTATACATAATTTCAAGCATATAGAAACAAAAATCGACAAAAACAAAAATCATACATACGTAATCATTTTTTTCCGGGTAATAAAATAATTGTTATAGCTGGATATAAAATCGTCACCTTTAAATAAGTAACAAGGCTCTTGTGGAAATCCATGTGTCATTCAAATGTGGCACTCAATGTGTTGAGTAGGCTATAAATTCCTACACACACACACACACACACATACACACATACACACACATTATTAAGCTAGGAATTCTTGGGCTGAGTACATGCTCTTGAATTTTAATAATTAGATTTTCGATTGTACGTTTTTGGGACTGTTTTAACAACACTGTTACGAATACCGATACAGAATAAACACGGAAGTGTATTCTGTGTTTTAGACCTTGCTGTGATTCTTTCGATGTTTTTAGGTGCAGTTTTAATGCGTACACTCTGTAAATATTATGTTGTGGTGAGACACAGTGGATAGATAATTAATCGATCTATCCTCACTTAAATCTTGCGATCGATCGTAACGTAAAAGATTTTTAGCATCATAATCATGATACTGGTTAGAAGTTTTAATTAAAGAACAAATATATGGGAAATCTCGTTTATCTAGATCGCTTGATATAAAAAGTTCAATGAATATTCGATATATAAAAATATTTTGAATCAAATTAAAACTGTTTTTTTCACTAATATGCTAGAAATGAGAAAATTATGCAGTATATACTTTTATATAATTATATATATAATTACCAATAAACGAGATATCCTGTATTTGTAAGAAGTTGATAATTTAATCTGTTCAAAGAAAAGTATGGATCAAAAATAAAACCTGCAAAATTGTGCGTCACCTAGTCCATTTTACCATCACATATTTTAAACTGAATATAATTGAGTAGTACCAAGGATGTGATATGAAATAAAAATCGGGCACTGTATTGTTTTCGCGTCAATTGAGAAGCATATTTAATTCGAAATACGAAAAATGACATATATATATATATAATTGTGGTTTAAAATATATTATTATTTTCGGTAAATATTTATTATATAAAACTTTATATGTAATTCAGTCAAAAATTATAGATATTTTAGCTATACATTTTATATACTTTATATAAGTATGCGTTATATTGAAGTGTTCTATTGAGTCGTTTTGCAATGCCGAAGTAAACAGACTTTTATGTTATAAACCGAAGAAGAAATATTAATCTAAGTAAAGCTCCATAAATTTGTTCCTTTAACAAATTGAATGCCACGTTGGATTCGCGTGTGAATCTCATCAGAACTGAATTTTCTAGCCGCCACTCGCAATCGTATACAGGATCTGATTACTTAATACATTGTCAACTATACAAGTTGCACCCAATTAGGAAAAATATTTAGTAATAACATTCCTAATTGAGCAAATAAAAGAATCACTCGTAAATGGGTGACGAAATTTGTGTAAATTCATTATCTAATTGTAGATAACGTAGCACTCAAGATGATAAAGGAACATTTAGTGCCCGGAGATACCTTAACCTCCAGCAAACAACACCAACTATTGCATGTAAATTATACAATAAAAATGTAAGCCTTTTGTAAAGTATTTTTATAAAACCCATATTTTAACCATTTAATCGATGTTGTACAATAGAAAAGTAAAAAAAAACACATGTTAAATTGTGAATATTTATTTAAATAACAAACATTTATTAAAGTTACATGAATTTTATCATATTCTCTTTTATATTGTAACATCTGCAAAATTATTCGTAAAAACATAGACCAGTTAAAATTACCGATACCTAGATCATTGATTTTCGGATAATATCTATTATATTATAAAAATTAATACAATAAAAAGCACCGAATAATACATTATATTATGAGTTTAATATTTTAATACCTTAATACATAACATTAATATTAGTATCCAAAGTAATACATCCCTCATTAAAATAACGTATAAAGATGCGTAATAACAGTTAGGATAAATAAGATGTGGACGCAATGATAAATTCTATTCTAAACAAGTTTCACTTACGGCCAGAAGATATTCGCTAATTTCGGAAAAGTGAGAGCGATAACGATGCTAGACAGAAGATTTACGCAGTGATTATCTAGAATCTGTTTACCGCAAATATGTTTTACACCTTTCGCCGGCCGCCCCACTATAAGACCGTCCTCGTTTACTCCTATAAATATAAATCATCGTTCATCATTGTACGTCACACGCGATAATCCGTTGATTTCATTTATTATTATGAAACACACAGTAATAACTCGTTCAAAGGATTTATGCATTGCAGGATGAATTAAATTTCAAACAAACTCCAATAAGCAAGAAATCATTAATACAACATTTTTACAATGATATTTTACATGTGACGTTTTCAAATATATAGTTCTTAACGTTATATACAACGTCATTGTTAACAATATTTTATTTTGATTTGAACATTAAAAATAATATTTCTACACTATAATTTTAATATTTAGGAATATTATATTATCGGGTAATAACAGTTTAAAAACATTTATAAAATATTATGTCAAAATGTTTATAAAATCCACGTAAAATCAATATTTCGAAAGTGATTTGATTTAACGTTTCTTGCTTACTGAGACGTGTAAGTTACCAGAGTATTGGAGCGTCGCGCCGAAGATGGAATCCAGAATGCTGCCAAATAAGCCACTGAAGCCTCCAATAATTACAATGGGCCACTGTGGTGCTGCTAGTTGTAGCATAGCCGTATCGACGGTATTTAACACTGTGATATAGTAGACAAGGCCAACTACTAAGCCACCAAGGAAGGAACACAAGAAACCTACCCACGATACACCGCCGTTCGTTCCTTGAATAATTAGAAAGTTAGATCGAGATAAATAAAGCGTAGATATTCATCTACGCTTATCAAGATCAATTCACATTTTTTTTATAGGTTCTTACCTCTTGGCACCCTTTTTCTCGTAGTAATGAGGAAATTGTCACCCGTGCCGATCACCATACCCAATTCTGAAGCCCACGTGTCGCCGCAACAACAAGCGAATGCTCCTATAGGACAAGTCAATAAAAATTAAAATTGTGTTTATATTTCGATTTGACTTGGTTATAGTCATATCCTATCATATTCTTCAAACAACACGAAAGATTTGATCTATTGATGCACAAAGAACAGCATTCAGGCTCTGATGAGCCCATCTTTTTACATTACGGATTAAGTATCAATCAATTTTACCTAATATCCCAATGGATAACCATGAACTTCGATAATATTTATCGAAATCGACGGGTCGTTCTCCACATCCAACATCCAACAGATATAATATACCCAATTGTGCAGCCATCCCGCCGTTACACAACACCTGTACCCAACCCCGTTGACCTCCTTCCTTGAAATTAACTTCAATTTTTTTCTTCTGTGCCGAACGAAATTTCGTAGCTTTGGACCCAGTTACGAAAAACGTCAAGAGGGCCATTAAATGGGCAAAATTCGTGAGCGTTAGTATAAAACCCAGGAGAGAGCCTACATAAAGAAAAATGATGTTTCGTGAACAAAACTTCTGTAATTTCTTGAGTTTATTCAATAATTACATGTATTAATTCTAAAACGCCTTTTTAGATATGACATACATAATAACAAATATTTTATACTTGTGTTAAAATCGGTCCAGACAGTACAGAGATGAGTGAAAGTTCATGGAGAATTCATTTTAAAGAATATGTACAGTCGGCGATAAAACGGTTGCAACCGTTTTTTCTCCTTTACATGTTTCGAAAGATGTAAAAATTAGAATGAAACGAAACATGCGCGATAAATAGTTAGACAGCTGTGAAAATTATATATGCACATGTAATATTTAGACAGCTGCCTAATCATTTGTTGCGCATGTTCGTAGATCATAGGTTCGTTTCGTCACGTTTCGTCATATTTCCTGTATTACTGTGTTATTTCGTATTCCCTGTGTTCTGAATTATTTCAAAATAAAAGTGTTTCAACCGTCCCGTGACCGATTTATATATGCAAATTAGCTTTGATGCGCGAGGCTATTTCCCTGGACGGCAGAGCAAGTTTAAAAAAAAATTTTCTTTTTGAAACGATACAGCGCTGTCCGTCAGACATTGCAGTGCTGTATCGTTTCAAAAAAAAATTTTTGAGTGAGCCACTATAGTGGCGTGTCGTCCTGAAAGATGATATCCGCGAAAGCCACTATAGTGGCGTGTCGTACCTAAAAGATTAATTATACGTGGCAGTAAAACACATGGCTCGTAAAATAATATTCAAGTTTATAATTGTAATATCTCTCAATTTTTGTAAAGTAAATTTCTATATATATTTTTCTAATTTCTTATAGAGAATCTTATACTTTTACAATGTCAAAATATTATTTAAAATAATTTTAATAATTCATATTTTAATTTTACGGGAGTTAATGTTTGCTGCTTTCTTTTTATATTTAGAGTTTATGTGCGCACACACTTACATACATACACTTTATATTCTATTTTCCATTATACCGTAAAATTAAGAAATTGTTTCACTACCGGAAATTGCACCGCTGATGGCCACATATCCTTTGCGTAAACCCCAAACCAACAACAAAACCGGTATTACGATCGCGGCTAACCATCTCCACGGTGAGATCACTGGATATCCTAAGGTGAAAAATAAAATTTATCAAATGTTAGAAATACATATGGGAAATTCCATAATTTAAATAAAACTATAAATTTCGCATAAATCTAAAATAAAAGTATTATTGTGATAAAAATATAAGTGTAAGATTTTGAATTGAATTCGTTCGATTGCGCCAACTAAGGCAGACTGTCAAGACTACCAATCTTTATTAAATCAGCGAAATAATTTTTCAGCATGCTTGAAAAACTGACTGCTTGCAAAATTTAAATAATTTAAATAGAAATTTAAATAATATATTATATAACCGTGCTTATTTCTTTAACGATATTCCATTTAATATTTATCGGAATATCTTTTTTGCATAGTCAGCCAACTTGCCAACCGGAACTTATAATTATGTAAAAATCAGAAGAAGTTTGATTGGATTGCAATAAAATATATTTATTTAAATGTAATTTAATTAATTCAAACTTCTTCTGATTTTTACATAATTATAAGTTCCGGTTGGCAAGTTGGCTGACTATGCAAAAAGGATATTCCGATAAATATTAAATGGAATATCGTTAAAGAAATAAGCACGGTTATATAATATATTATTTAAATTTCTATTTAAATTATTTAAATTTTGCAAGCAGTCAGTTTTTCAAGCATGCTGAAAAATTATTTCGCTGATTAATTGTCGCACGCACATTGAACGTGTCAGATTGAACGTGATCGACTGATTACTTTTTTTAATATGAACGTCACATATACTGTGTTGTTCCAGTTCGAAAATCAGAAAGGAATATTTAGGGTTAAGATGTTACATGTCTAAAATGCGAATTTGGAATTTTTTCCAATATATAGTAAAAAAAATATTTTTAGTGCTCTATTAGAAAAATTATGCACCTGAATTTATGATTAGTCGATGGAAATATTTTGTTAAAAATATCATGAAATCGATGAAAAGTGAAATGAAAATTGTTAGTAGAAAAATTACTCCATATATTCCGAAATGAATCAGTTTTCCTTATAAAATTTAATGTAATACTGGGAAATATAAAGAAAATTAAGTTATAATGTTAAAAAATATTAACAAATTTTTTGAAATATTAGATATGAAATTTACTGAATTTAAGTGAAAATAGAATTTACTGAAATATCGATAAAATAATAATGAAATGGGGTCAATTGAGGGAAAACTTAAAATACATTTCAGTAAAATTTCATTATACTTTCAGTAAAATATTTCCATCAAAGTATATATATATATATATATATATAGTCAATCACGCAAGCAGCAACACTGTTTTCATAAGTTTTGGAAGACATTTACATGTCCAATAAAATTATTTTTAATGATTCGCAGATGTATATTTCTATTGAATACGAGATGCGTCGCAAAACGCATCGAATAAAACTGATAATCTAACCTTTCTTGATCTGTCCTTTATAGCTGCATTGATAAATTGCTAGTAACAAAACATACTTGTCTCACTAACTTATTGCACCCGTCAAGCCAAAAGAACAGGCCACTTGTAAACGACTTGTAAACGGTCATATGATACGTTCGGGAAGCATACTGTCGCGCGCTAACGCGACATTTTGTACCACATTAATATATGACAAAAATAGAATGACCATTAGCGCTGATGAGTACTAATAACGTGCTTCCCGAACGCATCCCAAAATATCTATCACGCCGCATCAACCGTGCACATGCGTCAATGAGGGTAGGCTGCGTTCAGTAAAAATCAACGTTCAATGATCACTTTGCCTCCGATTGGTACACATTTCTGGAGTCGCCAAGAATCTCAATCTCCAATCGCAGATAATAAAACAGACATACGCATAATCTTTTACTGACACTGGTTCCCGTTGAATACGGCCATTATAATATTGTTTCATAATTTGAAAGTCATATTTACGGTCATCTCTGCATGTTGCATCGAAAAGTGGCATGATGAAGTTGATTAAATCGTACGTCGGATCGTAAGCATATTTATGATTATACACGCGTGAGAGATTCACGCTTGACCGGAATTGGGGAAAGAGAAATATTCTAACCTAACAAAATTACTTCGACAGATTTCGGGGTCTATATATTGTGTATACAACACCTTCCGTGAAATTAGAAGACTCGGGCGACAATGTCGAGTAAGTTACATTCACTATCCAGAAGAGCATCGAGATTGGAAGAGCGCAGGCACTCACGAGCACCGGCAAAACGTAAGAGCTTCGGCCCTCGCGATGTTCGAAATCGACCATATTGAAGATTTGTAAATTCGAATGAATATGACTCGTGAAAGTTCGGAACTAGAAGTCGCTTAAAAAGATAGAACTCTGAGTTAATATTCGGTCAAAGCATTCGAAGTGTGAACAATATGAAAGCGCGCGAACAACTAAACAATGATATCGCGGCGAATTGTGAAAGATAAGAATGTCATGCCAGTGCGCACGCGCGAGAATCTTGAGACGTGACATCACTGATCGAAGGTGTAGGGGTATATCGAAGTGAACTTTCAAGTGGTCGAGCGGACTGCCACTTGAAATGGTGGAAATATAAATTTACATTTTAACCTCTTAATTGGGTATGACGAAATATTTCGCTCATTTGCACCATTTCAAGTGGCAGTCCGCTCGACCATTTGAAAGTTCACTTCGATATACCTCTACACCTTCGATGTATATTCGAATACTGGGTATGACGAAATATTTCGTCATACACGAACTACTGCTGCAATTGGCATGACATTTTTCGTCATGGAAATTTGCCGTAATATTTTGAACGCAAACAAAAAAAATTTATTCCCCCGATTAACAGGTTAAAGAAAAACTTGCAGGCGAAGCTAGAATATTGAATTTCCAATCTTATGCGTATATATGTAACATTAAAAATCATGGATATCGATCATTTAACGTTTACTCAGGGTGGAAACGTGAAAATATTTTCAAATCAGAAAATTGACACTTTTCACGAGTTCACGCTGGAGAAGAAGGTTCCTTGGAAGTTGATCATAAATTTTCTCTAGCGTGAACTGGTAAAAAGTAGAAATTCCCTAACTTGAAAACTTTTGGAATTTTCACTTTTTCCGCCCTAAGGAAAAATTACACGATACCCTGAATTCTCAATTTAGGGAATAATAATAAAGCATGCTTAACGTAGAATATATATTCCCGTTGCAGCAAGTTTCTGTGCTGTATGGGTTAGTCTCGTATGACAATCAAATGCGAACGAAATTCGTATACAATAGCGATTTATTATTATTTCATTACAAACATCTGTTCTTTTATTGTTTCTACTTAATAACATAAAACAATAATGTGACTCTTAGCGTAATTCTGTCTTGTCATGTTGTGTGCACTCAATTTTATTATGCTTTATTATGCCTTGTGATGGTAAGCCGCAAGGGTCTGCGAAATGGTGCAAGTCTAATGATGATGAACGCCAAGAGTATTATACTGACGTATATACAAGATGAACTTAATTAAATGCAATAACAATAAATGAAGTATTGTATGAGGTTTGAGTAGTCAGTGTATGACCGCAGTCAGCCCCATATATATTATATATACAAAGTATGAGTATAATTTTCTCATCGCTAATAGTTACTATATAACGACGTTCGTTGCGCTATATTGTTGCTATATCGTCGTACTAATTGAAGAATCATAATGAATTATAAATCTTTAGTTAATCGCAACGCGCAAAGAAGCATTATTTTATACACATTAGAGCTGTCTAAATGAGCCAGTCGCTCGCGACAATCTTGTTTTGTTTCTCTCACTTTGTTCTCCTCACTCTTCTAGCTTCTGAAAGAAAACTATCAAAGAAAATACGACGCAAAGCGAGATGATTGCGAATGCTTAATCAGACAGCTCTAATATATATCGTGGGTGATTTTACAATAGCTGTATGACTCCAAATATATATATATATGTATATATATATATATATATATTATATATTCCTAGAAAAATATTTCTATTATATGTTTACATATCAACAATAGTAAATATTAACAATAGCTCTCAGACCAATTTGCTGTTGAGCGCAGTATTTAAATTAGAAATCACTTGTTTTGTCCAGTTTATACTGATTTTTACTGCTAATCAATTTTATGTATGAAAGAAACCCTCATGCGATGAAATCGTAATTAATACTCAAGTAAATAATGAAATATAAACAATGTTACATTGAGCTTCTTTGGAATAATCCAAAAGTTTATTTTCGAAACGCCACGAAAGATATTACCTCATAAGATGAATGCATGTTATATGAGAATAATTAATAAGCATAAATTAGCGATATTTGAGATAATTATTCGAGATAATTAATTCTTTTTTTTACAATGTACATGTTATCAAAATGTGATATTTGAAGGGTAAATTACTTAAGTGAATTGCCAATGTTGAAATAACAAGGAAAAGATAACGCGGGATAATAATCGGAACGCGACGCATAACAATAATTCTTACAGTAACGCGTTTAATACAACCAAAAATGAATGCAGTATACGATCTAAATTGATGGTGTTTAACACAATATGAGTCCCGCGATCTTCTCTGATCAGAAACGTTATTGACATTTAATAAAATCATCTTATTGAATTGTACGAATTTCCCGATTCGTCCGTGTTACTCGTGTGTGCAACGACTTAATTTTAATAGTAAACGTCTTGTAAAACGCAAATTCAGTATATATCCCATCCTGAATTACGGTCGGCATATCAGTAAATCTCTAAATTATTCTTCACTATCTTTCTCTAAATATAAATATTTTATAATTGAAAAAGAATAAACATACACTATGTACAAAAGTATTATGAGGATTCAAGAGAGTTAAAGATGGCTGCATTATTTTTACAACAGTCTCGAGATATTCACCTGAAGGGGCAACGAATACAGTTTCCTGAATGTTCATCGAAAGCTATCTGAAAGATTTGTCCTTGCGAATCACATTAGCAATACGAAAACATTCAAGTTTTCCTGGTAAAAATGGGGGGAACATTGCGAGCGATATAATACAAAAGGGATTGTTGTAAAATAAAGTCCTTACATTAGCGGACTAAACTAAATCCTTTGTACTTGTCAGAACTCGCTTGAATCGACGAGTTTAAGCTTACAGAATTTGTTCTTTTTCTCTCTTTCTCATTGAGCAGTATTTAAGGAAGTATTAGACGTGCGACCAAGATTTTACTATAAATTTTACATATATAATGAAATATAAATGTTTTTCTTTTTAATTTAAAACTGTTACCGAAAATTGTTATTCTATACTACAATCTTATGGGTTTTATACTTCGCTATGAATGTATAAGTACTCTCCAGGTTATTGAGAAATGCGAATGTGAAGTATTCACGGCAATCTCGATAAAAAAAACTATGAGAGAGCAAGCGATCGACAAATTCAAAGGACAAAATAATTAGTTTTAACATGTTTGATACATTATGATGGCGACTACCTATCTCTCGACTTCAGTCGATATTGTCTAAGAACCACGCAATTATGATGCATGATGATTCGATAGGAAACAAGAATGATAGACTTTTTCTACAATTCTTACAAATGAGCGGGTTCTTCGAACAATTCGAGTGATGTTTCTGGAATTATATCTTCCGGTTTTGCGCGTTCCGCAAATCCGCGTGCCACTAATTCGTCAGCGAGGGAAAGTACCTAAAAATCAAATCAATAATTTAACTCGTACGAAGGATAAAGAAGAGAAAAAGAAAAATGTGCGAAAAGAAATTTGTAACTTACCCCATATTTCGGGAAATTATAATAAATATTCGTATAAACATTCGAATCAACATAACCTTCAACCTGGGCTTGACCAACAGCCCCACAACAAATTTGAGCTATCACCTCATAAGCACCATCCAGCCAAACACCTAGAATACATGAGTAATCCGTATCATACATCCGAAAATAAACAATCCCGAATGATAGGAATATGTATCTCATCAATACATGGTTACCATTCTTCGGCTGAATATGCGCTAAAAAAATTTCGATCGCTTGGAAGGGCAGGTTCAGGTATTCTGGCATGATATCTCTTATTTGTGAACTACTAAATTCATAGTAACCGCCGTGATCGAGCAGTCGCATTTTATGCCTCTCTCCCAATAGATCTGGTTTCTCCATACATACTCTGGCCCACATGTTTTGCCAATATGCGACGTAAATCATGCCTCCTGATATGTAAAACAATTGTAAGAACAATATGTAAAGACAACATGTAAAACAATACGTATGGTTTTAAAGTTTCGGGAAAAACCGTTTTCCACAATTTTACCGCAGATTTTTTTATTTTTTATCTTTTTTACAGAAAAAAATTAATCTAGCAGGTTTTAACCGAACGCACGTGAATTTGTCTAAATGAATTTTTGTACCCTTGGGACAGAAACCGAAGAAATTCGCGAAAAAAATGGAGAAGAAAATTGACTTTTCCAACACTTTAAAACTCCAACACTAAGGGACGTTGAAAATGCCCCATCCAGAAGGATCTATTGAATTGGGCCTAAAGTTACAGGATATTTGGCCATCATGGGGGACCATTTGAATCATCCTATGAATCCATGATTGTCAATGAACTGGGATCATTTTGTCTATCTGTTTACCAAGTCTCAGCCCAATCAGATACGTACTTTTAGGTGGAACGTTTTCAACGTGCCTTATGTGACAAACATGTAAAACAACATTAGAATGTAAAGGTATCTCTGATTTTCGCTCGAGAACGTGCGAAAACATTTACAATCACTTACTTGTCAGCACATTCGGCACTGACGATTCCATGTTGTTATATGCATACGTCATCTCCGCGTCTAAAAGTCTCAAGAAAGGGAACGTCGGATGTGTCGGGACCTGAATAAAGAGCCAATGTGGCTTGACGATGTGCGTTACGACGATATCATTATTGACGCCTTCGATCAAGAACAATTGCGACCAGTGTGGTACCCATGACGTCTCCACGGGCATCACTTCAGACGTCGAGATCTCGATTAGTGTCACCTCCGGGAACTTCTTCTCTGGAAATTTCTTTCTTATCATGTCGAGGGCGATAGCAATACCATCTGCGTTGCCTTCTATCGAGCAGATCTTCTGATCGCTAGCGTCCGGGTGATCATTCACGTATATCTGAATTTCCGCCTTTGTACGGATATTATGCAAAAAGCTACCGTGACGTCCGATCAACCTGCCCACCAGTTGTTGCGGTATAGCAAAGTAGTAAGTAGTCTGTTCAACGTTGGTTTTCCTATATCCGTTAATGCTTCCACCTAGGTGACAGAATCAAGTTAGTCCAGTTCCTTTATAAATTGATGCCTCTATTGAAACGTTCTTACTTATTGAGAAGCTCTACGATCCTGCCAATAGAGGAACGTAATAATTATTCGATATAATGCGAGCTCTATCAAGTAGCATTAAGTTCGGATCTACAGTAGGTGTAATAAAGGCTTCAGTCCCGGTCTACTAATAGGCGTTTTAAGCCTTAAAAAATTGACCAATCACAGATGAATGTGAGAAGAATAATCGACTGTGATTGATCAATTTCTTAAGGCTCTCGAATAGTCATTATGATTGTCCTTGTTTAATGACGTCAGAAGCGAGGAGACCCATGCCAAGATTTCTTGCGTTATATTTTCAAATCTCTATCGTAGACAGGGATTTAGGCTTTCGTTTCAAACGAAAATGTATTGTAATTTCTGACGTAAAAGGCGTTTCCCTCGCTGCCAAAAGTCGTAATAACGCTTAAATGTTAAAAATCGCGACGTCTGGTAGCGTTGGAAATGCTTTTTGCTGGAAATTACGTAACGATTTAACGCTTAGAGTAAAAGGCTAAAGGCTTACTATATGGGCTTACTATTCGTAGTTCCGGACTAATGACTCACCTTTTCCGCTGTCTGTACTCCCTTCCTCGCTCCTAGCTTCATCTATGATACTGCCTTCCAGGACTCCAGAAATCGGACTGTGATTCGCAGAGTCCCTTTCGTAGGCCGTTTGTCCCACGGCCGCCCCGATGGCGTCTTCGGGATGTTCCTCGGTTAATTGTTTGCCCATGTTGCAGTTGAATTCGGTGTCCTTCCGCTCAGATGACCCCGTCTCGTTTTGATGCGCGCTGCTGCATCGCTCCTCTTCGGTGACGTCCTCGAATACCCTCGTGATATTGTTACCGAGCTCGATGTTGAAGGAGGAAGGCGTATTCCGTCCCATGACAATCGTCTCTAAGTAACTCGTGCTCGGATTGCTGCCTAGCTGTATATCCGTCGTCGGTTTAACTTCCGTACAGCTGCTGTCGCAGGACTGCGGTACTGACTTCCTGGTTGGGATGTCCATATTCTCGCTGACCTTCCTTGGGACGCGAGCCGGCTCTTCCTGTTGCGTACAGCTGCTCGTCGAGAAGGATTGATTTGTCTCCTCGTTGGTGGAGTTATCATAAAAATTCGAGTTGACCTCCCTCAAGTAGCTCGTCATCATTCTGTCCTGGGAATTTGATTCCACGATTCCACCTGGGTCAGCTCTGTGTATTCGACGACGTTTGTACCAAAAAAGACCGAAGATCAAGGCCACCGCCGGGAACGTCCACTTTACTAGCTGCACATTCGTAGAGTACATCATACTGCAAGTCCACTGTAGCTGCCGTTACCGGAAGTTTCCGTGTACTGAAAATCGAGGTGCCAAGAATATCTAAACCTCGAATTTCCACGTACATTTCAGTGGTGGTCATTCCCATATATCTAATATATAACTAAGAGATGAAAATGACCAAATCTGATGATAAATTACTCTGATGATAAATTACGATAATTTTGGAAAGCTGGTAATTTAGGAAAAAATTACAGAAAAAAGCTTTTGATATATTATTGATATAAAGCATTTTATTATCTTAAAGACTAAAGCTCGAGAGGAGCATTTAGCCTTTAAGATGAGTAAAATGTTCTATTTAACTTATATTTTCCAATATAAGTTAAATATTTTCATATTGTATATTGATATACTTTATATAGCATAGTATTTAGGATATACTTTATATAGCATAGTAATTAGGAAACTAGATATGTAGTAACTAAAGAAATTTAAAAAAATCTTTTTGGTGTGTATGTATGAGGACAGCTGACCGACAAAGCGTTGACAAGGTTGAATGAAATCTCCCTTTTTTTGTGCAATGAATTACATAAAAAAGAAGTTTAGAAGTATTTTAAGAAATGGAAACTCGAATATCATCCAAGGATTGGATAAATAGCTTCCTTTCTTTTATCTGAAGGATATTTCCGAGATTATCAGATATAAATTTGACGAGAATATAAGAATGTTGTTTTATCTTATGTATTAGTGTGGAAAACGTGAACGATGCAACCTATTTGTATATAAAATTATCAAAAACAATGAATTTTACCAAAATTATCAATAAATTACCAATAAATTACAAGCTTATTGCAATTTTATCATAAGTAATCGTCACTTTGAATCTGATGATAGTTTTACGTCTCTATATAACATAATACAAAAATTTTTTAATGATTTACACACAGTAAGTCTACGTAAGATCTACGAAAAAAAGCCACGATACATTGTCTTCTTATTTATTATTATTAAAGACGTTACGATATTACAATCATTACGATTAATTCTACATGAGTAAGTAACCACCTGCTGATTATGGACTACATGCGGAAATAGTGTAAGACGAGACGGCACCTCGACATGAAATTCCAACGGCTTTGATGCGTGCATAGTTATCAATTTTTTACATTCGCGTGCGCAAAAGTACGATTCCAATTACGAAATAACTTAATTTTTTTATTTAAAAACGCGCGAATTAAAAAAAATGAATAAAAATTCTAGTGAAAATAAAACACACAGCGACTTATTAACCGAATAACAATCGATAAAAATGCTGCAACAATTACGATCAAATACGACAAGCATTAGCGACGTGATAGGCGATATACTTAACGGCCGGCAGAAACAGTGGACTTACATAATAACAACAACAAAAATAAAACGTGCGTAATAAAAAAATTATAAATAATTCTGTAAATAAATAATGAATAATTAGATATAATTATTAAGTGTGAAGTGTAACCGATTTATACATTAGAATTTAATAAAAAGGTTGAACACACACACACGAAAATCTGGCACACCGCACGGAGGCATACATTTCAATTGCATGCAAAGCAAATCAGCCGAAAAAGGTTAAATAACACGTATATTATCACGTATTATGCGTAAAGACGGTTCCTGTTGTGTAAATCCAACTTGCGTTACGTACGTAAAATTCGAACAAAATCAAATATGGTCGGTGAACCGAACCAATGGGGTTGCTTCAAAATATTTGCAAAAACGAGGTAACGCTCGCAAAGGACCTTCACAAGACTCGAGATATCAACAACAAGTACCGCATTCCCTACATTTATCCTGAAAACAAAACGCAAAATATTTAAATGATTCGGCAGTCTATCCTCTTAATATATCCTCTTTGATTTATACCTTTTTGATACCAACATTTCATATATATATATATATATGTGTATATGCAACTTATGTATCACAAATTAAAAGGAGAAATGGAAAACAGCTGTCGTTTTGCAACAAGGAGAAAACGTAGGCAGCGTCGACTCGCGATATCAAGATTGCTCGAGAGTTTTGAATTATGTCACCGAAGCACGACGAGAAGACTCTCTCACCGTCGAGATCGCGATTACACAGAAACACGGGGATATAACAATCTGTTTACATAATTCAAGGCTCTAAACGACGATATTAAGGATCTCGAGATCGAATTGCTCGAGCTGTTACTCACAATAACGTAATATTACGCGATCCATGACTGAAATGTTTCCAGGTGGTTGCGATAATAGACAAAATACTCCTCGAGGATCCGATTTACTTTTTTGAAAATCTCCGAGGGACCCCCACACGGAGACACCTCGTGAAGTTGGAAAGCGAGCTCGGGGCGACGTGTGTCAAAATTAATATGCAGGTTGATCGTACGAACGACCACGTATCGATGCCGCGACTACATTACTACTACGGCTCCGTGGCTTTTCAACACGTGGTAATGCCGAGAAGACCAGTCCGACTGGAACCGCTCGCCGGTTACGCAGGCGCGGCCACGTAAAGTAGCATTCATACCGTGATCGAGATCTTCGATAAATTTGCAGAGAGCCGCGACGCAAAGTGGCGCGCGAGCGGACTTTCTATTCTAATTGCCTTGCGGGCCGGGAACAAAATATCGGCAATATCAATTGATGATTTTTCATCTTTATATTTTTTATATTTTCTTTATATTTTCGTCGGTCAGTCTCAGCATTAACGCGAATTACTCAAGGATACAAAACACCAGTGCACTTCTGGGTCGCTTAGAACAGTTATCACGCTCGAAGGAGCGGTTTAGCGTGCTCGTATCGCACACTTATCGGTCTATGCGTGCAACAAAGTATATAAACCGCTAGCTGCGAAGTACACCGTCGCGATAAATTAAATAAATATTCGTGACACGCTGCCGATATGAAATTCACTTTTCGATATAACATTCTATAAAAGAATGTCGAATGATGGCAATGGCCAAGTAGACAGCAGTAGAGTTCCCCGTCTTGGGAAGGCAACGTTTAAGGGTTCGAACAGTTTCGACTGTTTTCCGGAATAAGAAAGGAGACTGACTGGGATGAAGTGATGGTGCGATTTGTCATAATCGGCATGGCCCAGGTATACTATGGCATGAAGAAGAGAAAGGGAAGAATAAATTGAAACCAAGAGGCCATCTCATTTGGATGAATCTTGCATTGCAGAAACTTTAAGCTTGAAGAAACCGAGAAGGTTCTACACATTCTTCTACTTGTTCTCTATTTTTTGTCCGTAAATTTACTTGGGATTTGTGAAAAACTGGTTTTATTGTAACCGCAGAAAATTATCTTTTTGGCTAATTCTCTCTCTCTCTCTCTCTCTCTCTCTCTCACACACACTATTTATCTATCTATCTCTCCATAAGATTGAACGAAATCATTGGGAAATATTTGAAAATCACATGACACAGCAGTCTCCAACTTTCTTTTGCTGCGAACCTAAGAACTAATATCGGAAAAATATTCCAGAATCTATAAATAGTAGTATCAATATTATTCTTATAATTTTGCACCCATGCGAAATTGATTAAATAACTGGTGATAGTCAAACCTAGTTCCTAAACATCAGGAGGAAAGCCAAACAAAGAAACTGTAATCCTAAAAACCAACATATATTAGCGAACCATTCAATCTTAATTCTTTATCGTGATGTCTTGATATTTTCCACGATACGGCTAATTATAAAGACAAGAAATTTTGACATTAAAAATTGCTTTAAATAAAAAAGACAAAGCTTTCTTGAGGCTACTGTGTTCTCACGGAGACTATCTTGATTAACAACGTTAGAAGCAAAAAAGCACATGCTCAAAATTCTCACAAAATATTTTGAGGTAAAAGAACAGATTTGTAAAATATTCCAAAAAAAAACTTCCTTTGCTCCGACAATTAATAACTAGTTATAAAACTAAAGTGATCAATTAAAATGACAATTAAATAATAAAAAGTGAATGAAAATTAAAGAGATATATAGATAAAAGATCGTTATACTAACTTAACAGTTATTTAATTATTTATCTATCCATTTACTGATTATTGGACTATAGGGAAAATTTTCCAACTATTGTATAAAGCTGTTCAATCGATCACAAATAGCATTTTATGAATATATCTTTTTGTTTCAATATATTTTGCAAAAATGTTGAGCATGCTTTTCACCTCAAGATTTGTTCATTAACCTCTTACTTCTTTAGAAAACAGGAAATAGCCAAAAAGGATTTGTACTGGAAGGCACCTTAGAGCACATCCCTTATCCCTATAGCACATCCATGTTTCCCTATTATTCCACATAAAGATAATTGCCCTTTATCCAGACATTTATAATTATACAATTCGCGCATATTCTATATTTATAGTACTCTATATTTAAAATGATGGAAACGATGGAAACGATATAATAAACATAAGAACGAAGTTTGTACGCGAAGGGCTTCTCTCCTCCATTCTGGCCGTTGAACCATTTACTGCCAGATCTAGTCTATTATTAGCCGAACGTACCTGCGAACCTTAATTCGAACGCGATTTTAGCTTTGTAAAGAAATAAGGAAATAAGCTACAATATGAGCAACATGCAACACAATACTGACGATGTGTGACGATCCGGCAATCACGAGAAGCAGCCGGGAAACAAACGTAATTGAGGCATAAGCAGATGAATGGCTCCACATGTGTATCGGACATGGAGAGGGCACCTCGCTACTACGGTTGGTTAGAAATGAGATCTGAGAAAGGAAGCTTTACGAGAATAACCGTTCCCGATATCTACACAACTTATCGATCCCCGTGGACCCCCGGCTGCGCACTCGTATCTACCGGTAGTTAATTAAATCTTACTTCTGTACTTTATCGCGTCTCTACCTAAGAACTGTGAATAATTAACAAAGGCGGCTGCCGCGTCGCCACGCCAAATAGCACGAAGCGGCCGGATTGTCGAGCTTACCGATGTCGTTAACAGTTCAGATGTTGCAACTGGTTCACGATCGATAGTGTACTTCGACTGAATGCTTATTGAGAGGATTCCTGTTGCACCGAATGAACGACTTTCTGCGAAATTTCAAACGAATGTTCGCCACGTGATACTGATGTTTTCCCTCGTGTGTAAAGATACAATATGGCAACTCAGATTTCTCGGCCAGCGTGCTTACTTTCCAACTGGGCGATGAGACAAGACTAGAGTGGAAACTTGACAGACTGAGCGGTACATCGCCGCGTCCAGATGGCGCGAGTAACTTTCAATTCAGCTCCATCTTCTGGGTATCGATCGTGTAATTTTTTTCTTTGGGCGGAAACGTGAAAAGTGAAAATTCCAAATTTTCATATTAGAAAATTCACATTTTTCACGAATTCATGCAAAAAGAGAAAATCCCTAGGAGGTCATGAATCTCCTCTAGTGTGAACTCCTGAAAAGTATAAATTTTCTAATTTGAAAGTATTTCACTTTTCACGTTTTCACCCTAAAAAAATAGTGTGATTGATACCTTGTTTAGATGAGATTGGAACAACGCCATTTTCTTTCTTCACGAATAAAAAAAAGAAGATAAAATTTCTCCTGCTGTTGAATTAGAAAAACTTATTTCAAAATCATTATTTAATTCCTCCGTATATATTCCATATAAATTATAGGCAATATCCATAGTCCGTTCTTATATTTGAGATTGTCTCAAGTTTATCTTCAGATGATATAACAGCCAACGTCCCTTGCAGTATCTTAAATGTTGATAACTACAAATAATTTTACATATAAAATTAAACTACGAATATCGCCCTATTAATTATTGTTATGATCAAACGTAAATCCTATGATTCTAATTATCGAATTATACTTTTATCGTTTGCTTCTGCGAATAGAAAGTCTAGAACTTTTACCGACATTGACACCGTTAGATGGCGCCAGGTAGTTCGTATACTGCTGGAAGTGTAGTTTCAGAATAGCTGCACTCGATTTTGAAAAACGGAGACATCGATTCGCTCTGGTTGCTCCAGGAAAGTCGTTTTATCAGCTAGATATTATCTTAAGATAGGTTTAAGAATCAACCGATGTCTCCGATTTGCAAAACCGAACGTGTCTGTTTGCTAATTGATAAACATCTGCTAACAAGTCGCCACTATGCTTATTGATGAATCGAAGTCGTACTATGATTCAAAACGCAAATTTAATAGACCTTTCACTTCTACGAACTATAAGATATAAAACGAAAATAACAAAGATACCAAAATGATGTCAAAATGATGTCAAGATGACGAGAACAAAACTCATTTTCCGACCATTTTGGCGTCATTTTCACGTCATCTTCATTTTCTATTTTATTTCAACTATGAACTATGATTCAACGGCGGATGATCGATTTTTACCCTCTGACGACACAATACAAAGTTGATAAAGCAGTTGTTTCTGAAGGCCATTTGAACGGATGATGCAGTGGAATCTTAGTAAATCTTTAGTATACCATTCAAAGGTATATCTATTTGTTAATCATCTTATACAGTTGCACTTATCACAGGAACAACATCATTACCGAGAATTTGAAGCACAACGTTTCTTCGTTCGACGTTAGGTGTCGTATTAACGTGCAATAATCTCTTCTGTATTATCTTTTGCGTGCATGCAGCACGGTGCACATTGCACCGTGTAATTATTCTATTACTCGATAGTGTCTACTTTTACCATCAGGATTATCAATATTTTTTTTTAACAGACTCCTATATTTAATTACTATTATTTATCGGGTTAATAAGCTGAATCGATCTCACTTTAAATATTCATACCCGATAATTTATTTATCTTGTTTATTATACAATAACGGACTAACCATGATGTGAATATTTCAAAATATCTTATTAAAATACGAATATATATATGTACAAACACATCATATGTCATATGTCATACCGGCGATACCGCCGAGATATCCGTTGTTATTTCCCGTCCTATCTGACGCTGATAGAGAAACGGTGAAATAACAATTAAACAAAAACAAAAGAAGACCAATTTCAAAAAGGAAGCGTATAAAAAAAGCATGCGCGTTCGTTTAAATAATAAAAATGAGCCGACGACGCAGGGAGAAAGGAAACACTCGGTTGTAACGGACGCTACGTTGGCCTAGGGGGGAAGCGAAGGGTGGGAGGAGGGATGCACGGAAATATCTATTGGTCTAGGACTCGAAGACCTTCGAGTAATGCACGGGGTCGTTTGATCTGGATGCGGGGCGTCGGGACGCAAGGTTACAGCGGTCGTCGGGTCAGCAACACCACGGCCGTCCCTCCCGCTTTTCCCTTTCCACCCTGACTGCCATCCCTCGTCCTCCCTCCCGCAGCCCTCCACAGGCTCAATATATGTCTGCCCTTCCTTCCTAACCCTCCTCCTCGCCGACCGGCAGAGGGAAAGAGACCGAGAGCGGCGAACAGACGAAGAGGGAAAGCCAACTGCCGCCCTTCCATACGTTTCCTTCGCTCTCTGTTCTTTATTTGTCGTCGTTGCCGGCTAGTATCGAGGCGTGACATCTTGGCAAGACCACTGAGATTCTTATTAACAGTTATCGCGATAAGGGACCTCGCTCCTTTATTGTCTTACAGCTTTCCCCGAGATCTCCAAGATGGAAAGAGAAATCCGCGAGATGAACGACTTACGGATGCATTCGTGCATTCGTCATTCGATAATCCCGGTCGGACGTCACGGCGCGAACACTTCCGCTCTGCGGTCTTCCGCCTTCGTCTTCGGAAATGTTCTTGAACACTTGACCCCGTCGAATGACCCTGAATAAAAAATCCATTTGTCGCATTCGCCTCCGGTTCGCGCGTTCCCGAAAATTAATAGACTCTCGCGCCGAAAGTGACAATTAGAATAATTATTCCGTCGTATTTGCGATGATTATTAAACGGTCGTTGCTACGGGCGACGTGGTGAAATATAATAGTCGGCGTCACCCCTTCGACATCGTCGCATTATTTTTTTTATAACGCCGCCCTTCCATCGTGATACTTCACCACCGCTTGCACAGACCAATGCGGTAGTCGAGTCGCTTGCAAACAGCTCGATGGAGGGGGTGTCTGGGTCACCCCCTTTCACGTTAGTCTGTCTGTCTGGCTGGCTACTTTCCTGGGGTTCGCAACCCCTGCTTGCCAAACGTTATACCCAACCATGACACTGAAATGCGCACCGATTGTTTATGCGCGCAAAGTCTCGCCGAGCGGTCGCTTCGTATTCCTTGCCTCATTAAGCAGCCTCGCTTCATTCGCAAACTGATTGAAAATCCCCCGTCGCTCCTCTCCTTTCCGTTTCAGGGGAAATACACTCGCGACGTTGACACGATTCTCGTTGATCCCGGCTCAAGAGTCGCGTCGCGCCGTGATTTTCTACCGACGTTTCTTTACCGACGTAACGTCGTAACAAGCATCACGTTCGGCGATCATTAATAGCGACGGGAACGAAAGGGAAACCCCGTGGAAAACTGGTCGCTTTCGTGCCAACCGCTTTCGGCCGATCACCTCTCGCGCTCTCTAACAATATCTATTCATTTTAATTAACGGAGAAAGTGTAAACGAACCAATTCCAAGACGTTACGCCGCGGAGCATCGCGATGGCATTATACTCCGATTACTAATCTCTTAGTCGCGTGACATCACACATCCACGCCGATAAAACACGCGAACGTGGTTGCGTTGTTCGCTCGTTCGTAATTGCTCGTTGACTTGATGAAATAACGCGCGTCTTCGGGATTTATCTCTCGCGCGAGAGAGTTAATCGCTCGTGCGTCTCGGTAGTAGCCCGCAATTGTATCGTGGCTCAATTTCTCGAGATCAGCCGGGATCTAATTGCTCGCGAGTAAAACGCGAGGAGCAAATGAAAGAAACGACTGGATACGTGGGTGCGGTGCAGGTTGATGTTTTTCACGAATGGATGAACGATATCGTGTTTATCGTGCCTGGGCGGTGCAACGGTTTATCAAGCAGACAGGGTTTTGCACCCTCGTTCTATCGACTATAGCGTAGGGTTCTAGAAGCAGCCACAGCTACCCGCTGGAGGGAGAATCGTCTGCTGGAGGGGGTGTCTGGGTCAATCCCCTCCAGTGTGTCTGGGGGTTCGCAAACCCAAACGCATTTCCCGGGGTTCGCAAATCCGTGCGCGCGTGCGGCGTTACGACTGGAGGTCCCATGACACATTTTCGATCGCCCGCGACGTTCCGCCGAGAGAATCTGCTCGACGTCACTGTAAAATATTAAACAGGTTCAATCGCATGAAAAATTCACTCCAGCTAATCTGCCAGATTGTTCTTTCCTTCAGCCAACGATTCTATTCGCTATAAAGAGAGAAAATATTTTGCCAATTGTCGTTATTATGATCGTTATTTATTCCATGATATTTGAAATATATATATATATATATATATATATATATATATATATGATTTGAATTTTACTGACAAACTCACAGGATGGATTCCACACACAGGGGAAAAGGTTTCTTTGGATTTAGTGTACGTCCCAGCGAGAAACGACTTGTAAACGCTTTGTTTCTTAAATGTAGTTGCTGCAATATCTGTTTAAAAAAGAATATATTTTATTCATTAAATTATGCTTTACAAACAAATAACTAGACACATACTATTGTGAAAATCGTTCAAAGTATGTGTCTGCTCTTATCGATGCACAATTGATATCCGTGGAATAAAGACATGCGTACATGTTCGAATACTTCTTTATTATTCACAAAAAGAATGAGCTAAATTAATTGAACATCAGCTGTATCATACGGACAGCTCATTTTTACCTGTGGGAGCTAGTTTTTAGCTGTGGGAGCTAATTCCTTTCCTTCCATATGGATCAACTGATTTATAGATTTTAATCGGTGGAAATTCGTTATCAGTTGCGATTCTGCGCATCTTTCCGAAAGTGTGAATGTTTGGCGCAGAGACGAAGCGCGAGACGTCCAGTTAAAGCTGTTTTGACGGACACAGACGCGCCGAAACCAACCGTGTCCCTCGCGATCGCCTCACCTGGATCTTTCGTTACGAGTCAGTGGTCGCGGTTTTACCGGAAAGCCTGCGAAACGCATGGAACACACCTTGAGCGAGTGGCGTCGCCCAGCAAGTAGCCGGCCACCTACGTACGCACATAATGCACGTGCTCGGGAAAGGCGCGCTCGTGCGCGCGCG